CCAAAGTACTGCGTCTAAGAATAAATCGGAACCGAAAGTTGCTTACTGTTCGATAGGACCGAACAACACTCGTATACCTACGAAGATTTTTGATGCCATCAGCTGGACTTCTGCATCAATAGCGACACGAAAACTAATGATGGCCATCTTTAATCGCGAAACCTTAGCCACACATTCTATGACCGGGAAGCCGTCGCCTGCTTTTAAAGATCATAATAAACCACTTAAGAAAATGCTTAATCCATTAGCCATACAAGACATTATATTTGCTGTTACACGTAGGTGTGTCAAGTTTCGGAGAAGGAGGTTCGTAACGCCATCACCACCAAGTGCGCTGATGAAAACAAAATGTGGAAATTGGCTGTGGCCAAAACCCAATCATTATGTGAACATGATAAAGAAAATGTCGGCTAAGATATAAATAAAATATTGAGAAGTCAAATCAGCATAAGGGCGCCCATTAATTTGGTTGCTTCATTGCAATCCACTGTTATACTATAAGGGCCAGTTTTTCAGTGCCAGTTTAAACTTAGATTAAGTAAACTGAGTTTAAATTAAACAGCTGGCTGACATTTGATTGGCTGATCTTAGTTTAAACCAGCCAGATCGGGCGTTTAAACTGAGTTTAAACTACGGCCGTGCACTGAAAAACTGGCCCTAAGAAATGACACCAATAAAAATGGTCACATTGCGAATTTAAATTACATTGGTTTATCAAAACGCAACTTTGGAAACGTTTATTATCTAAAGGATACAAACATACCTGACAACCAGGCCTGTGTTTCAGTAAAGTTATCACATACATTACATAAAATAAGTTTAAAACCCCTATATATTAGAGCTAATCTTAATTTAACAAATTATACATACATAACATTAGGTTTGTTCGTCGAAAATCCAGCAAGAATTATCCAACACTCAAAATATCAGAAAGTAAGAAAAAATTCTCTCATGTTGAGAAACTTGCAAATTTCGGCACGAACGCAAATTTGCAGGAATTTGCAAGTTTCGCTGCCAGCTGGCGTCCACGGTTGCATTTCAAACATAAAAAAATTTTATAGAATTTTTAAAATTCTTTCGGATGGCCAATACAGAATATGCATGTATATTTCTTGTTGTTCTGACTTTATTTAACATACATTTCAATTTCTTCATCGTACTAGCTGTCGGGTTTCTTAAATCGACTCTGGTTGCAATTGCATTCCGATTGCGAATACCATTTTTTTCAGCCGAATTAAGTTCAAATCATTGGAATTAACTAAATAAATATATCAACAATTATTTACTTCCTTTTTTCATAAAAAAATCGCTCGTTTATAAATTTTTAAATTTAACGAACTAATTTATTCAAATTATTGTAGACAAAAATGCAACCATGCGCCACAACCACATGTTTTTCGTGTTTGCAAATTCTTGCTGGCAAAATTTTTTCCAGCAAGAATTTGCAACTTCTCTCCAAGATAACTTGGGGTGTTCACAGTTCGTTCCAAATTGTGTCTGAAAATGTAGACGTCTACATTTTGAGACATCTTTAGCATCAAACTGTGAGCACCCCTTTCTAGCAGTCGTCGCAAAATCGTCTCAAAACTTTGCTGGTGTTGCCAGACATTTCTTCCTTGCGTGCATTTTTTATATGACGCCTTTCGATTTTGTTTCTGAAAAATTGTAATTATTTAACTTAATTACCAATTCGTAATATTTGTTATTTCTTTTCCTTGATTTGTTTCTTTTCATCAGAAATTGCGCTCAAATTAAATGCAAATACAGAAAACGTGTCCAATAAATAAAAAAAATGTGATAAGTATTGCCATAATGCAACCCTGCTGCCAGGTCGCAAAATGTAGACGCGTAAAAAACATACCTTTGAGTGTGACAAAATGTAGACGGCGTCGTTTTCCAATTTTGTATGGGATACAACAACACCACAGATTTTACGGTTAGAAAACGGCTTAAAATGTAGACGTCTACATTTTGAGACGCTATTTGGAACGAACTGTGAACACCCCAACTGTCACTTTGCTATCACAAATTTTGAGTGTTGGATAATTTTTTGGTCTGCACGAACGCGATTTGGGCAAAAATCGTGATAATTCGTACAAATTCAGAGAACGTATATTTATAGAGAAGGACCAAGAACGGATCAGCGTGGAAACTGTCAAATACCAACAAAACTGGCGAAGCGCATTTTAAGAGCGGCCAGCAAGAGACAATCGAATTTTAACAGAGCCCAGCCAGAAGCAAAATAAATTTAACAGAAATTGTCTCATCAAAGCAAATGCATGTTTTTCTTGTTAGACGCGAAATGCTGACGGCTTTTTACGTTTTTACAAAGCTTTTATTGTTCTTTAAATTGGTTAATTATTTAAAATAAATGCATGCATAGGTCGAAATATGTAATATGTACATATTGTGTACATGCATATGTATGCGAGAGATACAATTTTGTGAATCTAAAAAGTGAAAGTTATGCAAATATGTAGTATGCAATTGGCAAATTCGTGGGTGATTTGCCGTCGGCATTTGGGTTGAAAAAATCGACTTTTACTTTTTTACCGATTCATATGGTAGATGCTACGCTATTTTCAATGCAACAAACCACAGTTTTCTAGCTGCCTTAGTTTTTCCCCAAATTCACTTTAAACACCAACACATTGACCAAAAAACGCAAATGCGCACTGTTTGGTGATTTGATGTCGGCATTAAAAGCGAAGAAAATCGGTTTTTATATATTTAACGATTCTAATGGTAGTTTATAGACACGATATTTTCAATGCAACAAACTGCAGTTTTCTAGCTGCCATAGTTTTCTCACAAATCCACTTCAAAGATGGATACATTGACAAAACGCGTACAAATGCATTGATTGCACTGCACGTGTAAACTTCAAAGTTGTTTTTGTCGAAGTTATTTATATTGAGAAAATATGTTGCATTATCATTTTTCACTGTTTTTCATAGTAAAACTAAAGTCGACACTAAAGGTAGTTACAGCTTTTTCACATCATTTTCAGTGGATTAGGCATCTGTGAAAAAAAGATGCAACTAATTTTTTTCATTTTTGGGACTGAGAAACTTTAACATAGAGTCGACTTTATTTGGTCTACGAATGTGCCCCAATAGTTTTGGAGTCAAATGAAAATGCATTTCCCCCATGCATACGTACTCCATTAACTGATAACGTTTTTACATGCATACATATATATGTATGTATGTGCATATTACTGCCAAAATACTACGCACATACACACAAATGTACATATATACAACTCACGGCAGCATACATACATATGCACATAATTACGCGCATACTCAAATACAACAATAACTATTTCTTTCATAAACGCATGCGCGCATTTCTCAAGGCCAAGTAAATTCATTCATAAAAATAACCGCAGCACATCTCCCCGCAAATTCATCACCAACAAGCGCAACTTTGTCAATCCGACACAAAAATTCTAAAATCTTAAAATGAAGAAATCTCGGCCAGCCAAGTGAAAATTGGCAATTATTTCTCTATATCCAGTAAAATAAGTTATCTCGAATCTTGGCAATTTTTGGTAATTTTTGGTAGTTTTTGACAAAACACTCTATTTCTCTGTGCCATACCAATATTTCAATAATTAACTAGTATTTTAAAGTGTCATTTTAATAAACATTAAATAAAAGTGTACGTTTTCTGCAGGAAAATACATTAATTTTTGTTTAATAAAATCAAAACTTGTAAAATCACAAACATATTTGGTTTTATCGGAAGTTCACAGATGTAACGTGGCAACTTTGCTCGTTTTCATATTTTTCGGTCCGAAATTGTAAAATTTTTGTCCATGCCGCCCACAATTTTTGTACAGGTGGGTCAATGTGCCTTGAACAAAATTTATATATATACAAAAAAATTATTTTATTTATTTTTTAATATTAAAAATTTCT